AAACCCCAAAACCCCAAAACCCCAAATTCCTGTGATTATTGACTATTAGAGGATATGAAATAAATAAAGATAAATTATCTAGATATATAATATATAAATAATTTTTCGGAAAACAATAGAGGAGTATCTTTTAGTAATAATGAGTGATACAGATTCAGCATAGTTACGGTCAACTATTGAGAGCCAAAAGGCCTAACTAGATTAATTAACTTAAAGAATCTCAGATATGGAAAGATCAACTTAGAAATTGAAGGAGTAAAACTAAAAGCTTGAAAACATTCTTCCATATCTTTAAGTTCAAGCAGATAAAATTGCAGCCTAGTCAAACAGTAAAATATAATATTAAAATTTTATAGATGGTATTCAAGCATCCAATGATGAAACTAACTCATAATTATTGCAGCAAGATTTAGACGACAGATTGGTCACTGCTAACTTCGGATATTATTGTGAATAAAAAGTCAGGTCTGAAGAGCCAGTCTATATAATGGGTGAATTCAATCAATGGTAGCCAGAATTAATGGAGAGAGTAACTGATAATATATTCGCCTTTGAAACTAAGGTACTACCAGGCTACAAGTACAGATTCAATTTCAGAATAGGTGAAAATTTAAGGCATGATCTTATCCAAGATAAAGAAAAGGATGAAAATGAGCAAGATGTCAACTTCAAATATATATTAGAAAATTCTTCAGATATCTCTAACTAAGACGAGCTCATACAAATACCACTCTTTGTTCATCCATTATTAAAGTAAAAACGTGAAGAACAGTTAAAATTGATACTTTCCCAATTCACTGAATTGTAAGCGACCATCGTTTAATTTGAATCTTCAGAATTATCGAATTTCGAAGATTTAGATGAAAGTACTTAAAGAGAAAAACTTAATTAGGCTCTTATTAGAAACAGATCTCTACTTGCACAGTTAAATTTGCAAAAAAAGGTAAAAGGTTTTGCAGAAAGTTGTGGATAAAACCAGATCCTATAATCTAGTCTAGAGCAAATAATCATCTTTGAGAAAGAAAGCACAATATTGATTAACTTAATTCAAACTCTTACTAGAGGTAAATTTGCTAAAAGTTTAGAGGAGAATCCTATATATTACTACTTTTGCTCATACAATGTCTAAAATAATGAGATATTGCTAAAAAGAGTATTTGATAATAATGGAATTCTATTAGACGAATCAAGCCAAATTGAAGTTAATAGAAAACTTATAAGCACCGAGACAATTGTTGAAAGCTATTAAATATTATTTGGATAAGAGGCAAAAGAGTTCAAACAAGATATGCTGAATAATGAAGTCCATACTTTCAAATTGAAATACACAACAACAGTGAAGTATGTCCATTCTTGGTAGGAAAAGGAGTTAGTCCCTATCAGTTCATAGCCCGAGGTCAATTTTGCAGATTATACTTTTAGTGCCTGGTCAAGCGGATATCCCTACTCAATTACCAATAAAATCCATGGAGCAGTCAAATCTGAAGCTGTAAGAGTTGATTAGCTATCTAAATCGAACCACGTAACTGTATATACCAATGAAATATCTAGCAATGTCCTGAATATAATTCATATTAACGTTGAAGTTGCAAATGATTAAATTATCTTAGAATTTCTCTACGCCAATCAAGATTAAGACATCAAAGATTTCTAAGATTTTAAGTCTGATGAGAATGCTAAAACTGCGTAGTATAAGATCATTATTAAGGATCAAAGAATTTTTGCAATCTTGTATAGCAATGGATCAGGATCAGTTGAATAATTATAATTCTTTGAATTTAGAATATCCAAAGGTATGCTAGCAAGTGTTTCTACCTGTTGCAGGTTAAATTACTCATAAGAGGAAATGTTTGTTTAAGTAGAAAATGTTCCAATTGGCCATCTTGTAAGCTTAGATAAAAATGCTATAGAAGAACTTGGCCAATCAAAACCTCAGCACGAACTTTTTGGCTTTTGCACAGATGGATACTTTTTGAAAGATTTAAAAGGGTATATTGATGTGAATGTGATATCACTTGATGAATGCAATAACTTCCTTGAAAATTAGGATAAGATAGCGCTTCCAGTCTGCTTAATAACGGATCCTTCATGGAACGCTCAATCAAAATATGTTCAGAAGATGCAAATTGAGTCCTGGACACAAAGTAGTATGGCTATATCCAGGCTGTATTGATTTAAATTGAGATTAGCAAAACATTAAACTGAAAATAATAATTTACTAGCTAATTTTCTTTATTATTGGCATTTCTCTATTCAATGGGGTTTTGGGGTTTTGGGGTTTTGGGG